AAATTATACGACATTACCAGAAGAATGCACTGATGTGGCCCTGAAAATGGCCTATTGTATCCCTTGATGCATATCATTGTACTTTAAATACATTAAAAAAATCAGTTAATTAGATATAAAACAACTGTTTTTCATTATCTGAAATGCTGTTCTAATGTCAACATGGCCAGAAATATGCCAACTGTTGATAAATCACCATCAGAATTCAACAAGGTGACTGAGCAGTATCGTGGATGTTGTTCTGCACCACATTCAGTACAGTACAAAGTCTGTAATCCGGAATGATCTATAATCCAGACCTCAAAGCTACGCATGCGAGTTTAATGTATAATGATGTATAATGTACGGTATAAGCTAGGCTAAAGTTATCTAAGGCATTTCAGTTAATGTTGCAGATTGCGCTGTTCCTTAATCTTCTAAATGGATTTGGCTTTTTATTTTTTGCAGACTGTTAGAACAATTTTATAAAAATTAAGCTTGAACTTTCGATTATGTCAAAAAGAGTTTCCAATTCTGGAACTGCCAAAGGATCTACAAAGCAAAAGCATGTTTCGATGTCCATTAAACAAAAAGTGGAATTGCTGCAAAAAATGGATAAAGGCCTATCCGTCTCAAAATTATGCAAGAAGTATGGCATTGGAAAGTCCACTATATATGACACAAGAAAAAGGAACTTTTTGAATTTTTTGTGGAAGCATCTTAAAGAACTTATATTAAAAGAAATGTTTAATAAAGTAAACAAATAAATATTAAGCTTTTTTTTGTAAATTTTGATGCCCTTTAGATCATAATTGTTCTTTATTTCATAAATTACGATTTCATATTTTTAATCGTATAATTTCTGCATGCCATCTTACCAGATTTAAATTGATGATCTACGATCCTGAAAAACCCCTAATCCGGAATCGCTGAAGTCCCGACAAGTCGGATTACGGACTTTGTACTGTATAATTATTTATTTAAGATGCCCCATAGGTCTTTTCTATTGCCAGAGCTTTGGCACCATAGCAGGATCAACAAAATTCATCTCATTTACCATCAGGTGGATGTATCGCAGTGGTGGCAAATGTATGACATGCAAACCATTTTGGATGGATGACATGTTTTTCCTGAGCTGTCGATGGAGACAGGAAGTTCCATGATACAAAAATATTTGTTTCTTGCCAATGGCCTTGTCATTGTCAATGTACGCTGTGCTTATCTGGAGTGTGTTCAAAAGCATTCTTGGCAGATGTAAGATTCTGTATGTGAACACAGCACTGGGGTTAAGCTAGGAGTTTTCTGAATTTTGACATGCTGAGTTCAAAAGATTTTCCCATCATTGGTGTAACATGATTCATATTCAGTAACTAAAGATAAATCTAGGGTAAGTTACATGTTAGGTATGGCCTGTTAGGTAATCTGTTATGAGAATATCGAAGATTTTTATCGCCCATTATTCTGGTAATAATCTCTCAGCAAAGTTCCTTTTACTTAGTAAATAAGCTTTCATTGGCTTTTGTGATTTTATTTTCTCCATCTCTGTTGTGATTTTTTTTTCTTATATAGTTGAATGCAAAGAATTTCACCTAGGTGTTTGCATTAATCAATTGTCATTTCTATCCATATATATCAATTTCTTTTTCATGATATTCATGAAATGTGATTTCAAAACACTAGCTACAAATTAGGCATAATGCAGTTACAAAGGATATTTCTTCAATCACCATTAAACCAACTGAACACAAGCAAATTTTATTAGCAGTTGTTCTGTAAATTTTTTTTAATCATCATGAAGTTTTTAACCTGAAAAAAGGTTAATTCTTGAGAAACAGCTTTAGCTGCTGGATCTGCCCACGGCAAATTCTTTAAATTATATTTGCTTTTACATGCGGAAATGATGTGCATATTGAACACAACTATAAACAAATGAGGTTATAGAAAAATGCCTAACTGTTGCACACTGTTAAGGCCCGTCCACATGACTACGCTCGAAACGTAGCTAACGAACGCGCTTTTACGTTACCAGCATAAAAGCGTCCAAACGAGTATGCTTGCAAAGAGTGCGTTTAACCAGTATGATTATTTTGCGCAAAAATCACGGGGCGCTGTAATATAGCGTCAACGGAGCTGTATCTTATTACTTCACTGTGCTTCTATATATTTGCAGCAAGTTTTGTCCGAATCGGATGATTTTTTGTATAGCTGAAACTTCATTAAGCAGAGGCAAAACCGAAAAAAAAAATTGACTAGAATGGTTCCGAAAGATTTATTTAGATCGATCTGTTCTAAGAGATTTTTTTTTCTTTTCTGCCTCGTTTGCGAAATGAATATCCGGAATTATTAAATTCCTACTATTAACTCATGCTCTCCGTACATCTTGTTCAAATTTTCAATCGTTAACCGTTTGAGTCTGGCGAAGCGCTATCACGCTTTACTTGTTGTATGCCAAAAATACGGCGCAGCGCGATAGCGCTTTTTTTGTTTTGTATCGAGAATGCGAAGACGCTGCTGTTGGTTAGTGTATTTTACCGCAGTTGTAGTGATATCAGTAGCAGTTGTTTTATAGGAATTGGAAATTTTCATTTTTTTACCAAGTGTTATACTGATAATTACGAAATAACCCATGTCAAGTTCTGATTCATTTGAAAGTGACTATGTTATGAGAAGTGATAATGAAGAGTATAGTAATAACCTTGAAAGTGATTGTGGAAGTGACATCATCATTCGTTCTAAGAGATTACGAGTTATTAGTGATAACAGTGATGATGATGAAGTAACTGCAAGTACCTCCGATGACGATATTATTGATGAGTTTTTACCTGTGGATACAATTTTTCGAACGAATCGAATACTTTTTCTGAAGTACCTGGACCAAAGCATGCCCCTCCTCCTGATGCGAAACCAACTGAATATTTCAATAATTTTTCTCAATTTTCAATAATTTTTTTTTTTCAAGTATACTAACCGCGTCTTCACATTCTCGATACAAAACAAGAGAAGCACTATCGCGCTGCGCCGTATTTTTGGCATACGACAAGTGAAGCGCGAGCCGGACTCAAACGGTTAATAAAATACTTTTTAATCATTCACTCAAGTTCAAATACAATTTTTTTTTAACTTGTAGTGGATGGCACTTGATATAGCTTTTTCACATATTAAAATTTTTTTAATTTAAAAAAAATTCTGTTTTTTTTATTTATTTATTTATTTTTTTGTGTATTTTTTCACATTGTTCTTTGTTGACCTAAGTAGGAATTGACTTAAATTTTTTTATATATATTGTTTTTTTAATTACTTCAGGATGAGTATCGACCAGTTCAACCAGTTTGGCGGCGCGCAATAAACTTGATGTAAATTTTTATACCCTTTAGATCATAATTACTCTTTATTTCATAAATTATGGTTTCATATTTTTAATTTTATAATTTCTGCTTGCCATCTTACCAGATTTAAACTGATGATCTATAATCTGGAAAAACCGATAATCCGGAATCACCGAAGTCATTACACATGATATAGCGAATATTTATAATAATTAAAGAGAATTTTGTAAGGCAGAAACTTTGATTTCATAGAAACTGTAATTTATTTAGGTTCCTAGTACTTACGGTGTTATAGACAGGTGAAGCATATGGATATACTCATTAGATCATTGCTTTATAAATATACAGTTTTCCCCTTTAATGAGAATTTGAAATTTATACCAATATATATGGTTTGAGAAATCTGAGGATGGCGTGAACAATGCTGATTATTTTATTGCTGTATACAGTTATGATATTTCTAAGCAAAAACTCATCTCTGTGTGGTTCTGACACCATATTGAAATGGGTAAGCAAGAAGATTTTCCGGTTATGACACATGATACAAACTCGGTCGGCTATTGGCTGTTCGTTCACTTTACGGATGTAAAAGCTGAACAGGAGCGAATTCAGTTTTACGTCTTCTATGTATTACGCTGGGGAAAAAAAAGTTGCATCAAGTACATCGTGAGCATACTCGTGTGGACAGGCCTTTAGCTAGATACTGTGTTTTAGCGTGTATTGAATTTTGTTATGTATTATGACTTTTGAGTGCAAGAAAAGCAATGTTTAACATTGCATGACTAACATGACTTAGACATGTTTAATTAAAAAATTAACTCCCCTTTTTATCATTGTTAAATTTATTATGTTGCTGAACAACCTAATGCTTTTTTAGCTCATTTAGTGTATTGTGAAATAATTTTTGTATTCTCTTATTATCCTCCATTCCTAATCACCATCACTAAGAGAATCATTATATTGCCAAAATAGGCAACCTACTAAGAGTTGCTTACGATTTTGAAATCTGAGTGTTGCATTTGAGTTTTCTTTCTGTTGTGATTAGTATGTGGAGGTCCCCTCTCCTGGTAATGAATCGTAATGCCATTGTAGAGTTTGTTTGCTAATGAAAAAGAAAGTGCTGTATTTTTTAAGGAGTATGGTTCACTGCTTAGTAGAACATAAGAATGCACATTCAGCAAAGTTAATTTGTGCAATTCTCCGATCTTTTTTTAAAGATAAAATAGATCATTGTGCACATACGTAGAAGACGTGGGGAAAAAAGAAAGTTTTTTAATTATAGATTTTTACTGCATTTTTAATTTAGCTTTCCTGTTGCTATTTTACATAATTTTGAGTGTTTGTCATATGCAATCAATGTTTTATTATGCAAGTTTCTTTCATTTTTAATTTCATTAATTCATTGCTGTTTTATGTAATTTTCAGGGCATTGCCATTTTTTTTTAAATATCTTTTTTTCACATGTTAGGCAACAGTTGCTGACTATGTGGGAGGGTTGACCTGATAATCAAAGAACTAAAATTTTTAATAATTAATTAATTTAATAAAGTCAATATTTATAAAATAATAAACTGTTTGCTTCCTGTAAAATATGTTTTCAATATCTCATAATTTTCTTACATAAGCATATTTGTTAAATTTACATTCAGTACTATTATCAGCCCATTGTCCACACCTGTGCATACTTTTTTGTAGGCTATGTCTTTGAATCCTGTTCGAGTCCTTAAGGGAGATACTGAAGAAGAAAAACGAGAGGATGCTAGGTTATCCTGTATCTTTGGCTCTATCGCCATAGGTGATCTTTTAAAATCTACATTAGGTCCCAAAGGAATGGTAAGATATTTTGTTAACAGTCTTCTTGCATTTTAAGTATTATAAATCGATTTTCATATTTATATTCACCGAGTTTTAACAACTCCATAATAAATGTTTCCATATGGTTTTTGAACAGTAAACCCTTAAAGAGATGTGATTTTGTGTATATGCATTATCTTAATTGTCTCCAATTAATTTGTCCAACACAAGGATTTCAATTATATGCTGTATGCTGCAGAGTGTCAGCTAAGTTGTGATAATACTGTTTAACAACTGGTTTGGAAATTCATTCATCAAAAAAGTCGAACATTGCTTAGAACAGCAAAACCTGAGCTTTTAAGTTATCTTAATTCTCAATAATGATCTAAAGACATGGTGCTGAATTTAAACAAATTCTTAAAAAAATACATGGAAACTGACTGATTTTGTAATGAAGATTGATTCAAACGAAGAAAGAAGGGAATACTTTATGAAAGGTGTTGAAAAACTTGATTTCCTGATTTCAAAACATGTAATGAGTTGGACATTACATGTTTTGAAACATGTCCCCAGCAAAAATCACCAGCTATAAAAAATAAAAAAAATAAAATAAAATAAAAAAAGAGGCATCATGTACCTATTTATTAAGTAATAATAGAAAGCCTTTCAGTTAAAATTTTCCCCTTTTAATTACAATGAAATTTAGTTTTGTATAAATTATGCATACTTTTCTAATCTGAATAAATGCTTTTTTCGAAAGAAAGTTAACTTTGTGGAATGGGATTTTGCCTATGTGCACTGTGTTAATGATATAACCTCTCTGTTAGGCAAGAATTTACTGTATTAGCATATTTGTATTGATCAAAATGTGGGCGTAAATTTAAGAAGGATGTCATGCCTGATGATGCTATTATAAATTGCTAAAAATAATATGGAGGCTAATAAGCCATCTTATGTGTGTTCACTGGTCAAATCCATAGAAATAGTACAATTAATGCACCTATTACTGGTTGTAATCAAAGTTTTAGCAAAAAAAAGGTTTTTAATAAAGTTGGAAAAAAAAAACATGAAAGCAGTACCTTTAGTGCGAGTAGTAATCACCCAAATCTATGATTTTCTGCTCAATGTTTTGGTAGTTTTTCAAAGCCTTCAACCCAGAAATTTGGTAGCCACAAGTCCAAAAATGGATCAACTTCATTTCAGATATCCTGTACAGAATGGAAGATAGCACTAGCAAGATGTAGCTGGAGTTGTGGAAAAGGATAAAAGTCCGAAGGAGCAATGTTGGGGCTATATGGTGAGTGTGGCAGAGGTTTCCATTTGAGTCCGTATAGTGAGTCCGCTGGTGAATGCAGACATATGTGGTCTGCTGGAACATTCCCTTTTTGTGATGGAACTGAGTTCAACATTTTTCCGTGATAGCAGCATCAACATGGACTAGCATCTTGCTGTACACCTTACTGTCGAGGGTGTTACCTTTTTCCAGTTTTTGTGGATAAATACCATGCCAATCGCACCAGATACAAAGCATGATCTTTTTGTTAGTCAAATTGCCTTTGCAACACTGCCGATGAGCTCGACAGGCACAGACTTACCCCCTTTTCCGGCTTGTGTTGTTGAAGTAAATCCACTTTTCATCACAAGTGATGGTCAAGTTCAGAATTTTGTCCTTGCATTGATATTTGAGCAGATTAGTGCAGGCCTGAATACATCTGTCTTTTTCTGCTTAAAGTCAGCTCATGAGGCACCCAACAATTGAACTTGGAAATCAAGTTTATGTAATGCATAACGCAACTAATATACATGGCACTAATGTGTAACTCCTTAGCGAGTTCTTGAGCGATTGCATATGGATCTTCTTTCACAAGTTCTCGTAGGCAGGCCTCATCAATATCAGTACATCGGCCAGAGTTCTCTGCTTCTTAAATGTTAGTCCTTGTTTTTGAACTTTCAGTACCAAAACTTCACAGTTCCATATGATACAACATTAGTACCTAAAGCTGATTTGGTGATATTCTGTAGCTGACTTTTGTAACAGAACTGGAAGTAAATGATGGTTGTAATCTGGTAGCGTGATAGTTCCATTTCAGTCACATAGTTAATGATAATTTTTTTTTTTTTTTTCAGATTTTGCAATACAGTGTTTTACAGCAAATCCTTTTTCTCAAGTGCCAAAAATTGTTTGACAAAATAAAATTAAACACACAAACGAGAACTGTTCACACAGATGATATATGTAGTGGCGGGAAAAATTTTAATTAAATTTACATTAAAATCCAATATTTATTCTACTTTATTGTTATAGAGTGTAATAGTGTTTAGATAATAAAAGAGCAAAAAGAGCAGCAAATATTTTATGCTGCTTTTTTTTTTCTTGTGCATATATTACAAATGCAAAATTTGTATTATTGCCTTTTTATATATCCCATTCAAACAAAGTGTTAATAAATGTTTTTAACTTGTAATTTTCTTATGTGTATTTTTTCAGGATAAAATTTTAGTATCTGATTCTAAACGAAGTGCTAATGCTATAGAACTAACTAATGATGGTGCAACAATTTTAAGATCAATTGGTGTTGATAATCCTGCTGCTAAAATACTTGTTGGTAAGATATATTTGTTTCTGTTTTATTTTTCAGTTGCTCATTTAAAAATTAGGTGTGATAAATTAGCAATGAAGTTAATTTAATTGTAAGAAATAGAAATGCCTTTTTTATCATTGTATTTTTAGAATGAGTGTAATGAAAATATCTTTTAAATAAATATGTTTTAATTAGGCTAATATTATACAGTACGTTGCATCAGAAGTTTGATACTTATGTATTATCCCACTTCTTGAAATGTTGGCACCTTGTTTGACAATTTTGTCCAGTAATTGGATAATTAATTTTATAGTGTAAAATATTTCCAGTAATTCTTTATTTAATTTTTTCAGTGAAAATCCTCAGATCATAGTTTGTTCATTCTGTTGAAAGAAAAAAATATTAAAATTTAGAATTTGTTCAAACAAAGGAAGATGCTATGCATTATTTTAGTTATTATTAAGAATTACTGGCTGCTATAGTATTTAATGCTGGTTAAGATCATGCACAGCCAAACTATTGATGGTAGCTATGTTAACCGCTTGCCTGATAACTCGGGTTCGTATATATTGCAGTTAATTATTATCCCGAGAAAACTCGGGTGAAGCAGAATTTGTTAGTACGATTCTTTATACCACGGTTTTCGATCTGGAGAAATGAAAGAAATTTCTTTTGATTGGTAATTTGCCAAATTTGTTGGTTGCGCGGTTCTTTTGGAGGGATTGGTCACATGTTTCTCTATAATAGATACGTTGGCTTGTGGATTAGTAATGTATAAGAAGGATGCATGCGTTGGAAAAAAATAAAATATTGGCAATGATGGAAGATAGTGAAAGCGATGACTTTTCAGATAGTGATTATGAAAAGGTTGGGAAAAAAATTAAAAAAAAAAAAAAATCAAATCCAAAGAAACAGTGTGGTAAGCCAGTAAGAAAAGAGACCAGATACCAGTGTAGAATGTCAGGTATTGTTGTCCCTGTATATTGGTATTGTGGTATGTATAGGTCTGTGTTGTCCCTTGTTTCAAAAACTATCACACAAAGATTAATATTTCACTTTTTTCCGTTTGCCCGAGATAACGCGGGATAGTAAACTAATATTAAAAATAAATGCTTTTACACCTTCAAAAAAGTAAAAATTCAACTTGGGACCTTCATATTTTGATTTGTGTCGTTTTGTTGTATTTAATAGTAAAATAAAAAAATGTGATGATTTTTTGCAATATTTTTCAAAAAAATTTGTAAGGGAAGCGGTTAATGTTCCATCATTTCCAGTGATGGTGCATTAAAGGTAATTAATCACAATGATTAAATAGCATTTATCATTACTTTTTTGTTTTGAAATCACTTATATGTTTTGCCTCTCCATTTTTTTAAGAGCAAATTCTATCGTATTGGAAATACAAGGGCTGATTGAAAAGTTTAGAACTGCCTGTTTCTCTTTTCCAGTGCCGTCCAAAATCCAGATGTTTATCCAAATGAATATCTGGAATGATTTAATATCCAGACGACTAGCTGCTCCTCTCACAAAATACATAATACTCAAGAAATGGAAAATATTATATGTGAGAGAAGGCAGGTTTACCATGGTAGTGATTTTTTCTCACGGAGGTTCCCATATGTCATTTTCAAATACCTTTTGGCTAGGAAGCCACACCAAATTATCAAATCAAACCACACAATCAAATTATCACTATTACAGTTTTAGCAAATAATTTGTACATTTTATTCTTTACCCAACATTTTACATCAGTCAATCAGCCAATGTATATTGGAATTTTGCATGCACTCAGATGCAGATATAAAGTAGCTTTTTAAAAAACAATGCAGCAGTAAGACCATGTAGTAATTCTGGAAATATTTTAATGTATAATCTTGCATGTGGGATGTTGCAAGGTCATGAGAAGACATGTCTGCAGATATTAAAAGTGCTCAGTATAATTTACAGCCAGCTACCAGATTTCATGATTATGATGATAGCAAAATTTAGCAAAATTTTCCAATTAATGGAACATACAATGAAATTCTTAATGAAGATGATATAATTGAAGTCTTTCTTACATTGCACCAATAATGTCCCAATCATCGATCAGTTAATGGAACAGTAAATCTCTTGAATATATGGTTTTAAATTTAGGAAATATCACCATTTCAGATTTGTGACACATCACCATTTTGCTATTAATTTATGAATCACCACCATATGGTAGAAAAAATCTATAGAAAATGCCTCTTTATAAGTTTATAATTTCTACATGTAATCTCACTGGATTTAAATTGATCTGAAATCCGCAATAACTAAGTCTCGATGAGACTTTGTACTGTATTAGATCTAGCAATATGGTAAAAGTTGTCCATTGACAGGTTTGAACTAGCAGTAGAACAACAATGATCTTCACTGTTTAATCACAGATATTTTGAGCACCTACGTCTATTGAGATGGCAGATGAGAAAAACGGTTATGATTAAACACCAGAAATGCGACAAAATTTTGCATTTGACTGGGGAAGAGCCTTAATGATCTTGAAGTGTTATATTATGCATATGGTGATGAAACATTTAGTTGTGCCTTTGTATTTTAGTTAGAGGCACTTCAAGCATGCAGGTGATCAATAAGGCATCTTCTGGTGTGTTATCCTTTGCAGCTGTAAGTATTAACATTGTACACCCATGGGCAAGCAGTGAATAGGCACTATTATATAGATGCCTCGAAAACCATTTGCATGGATCCATAAAGGAAAAAACTAGTGACTTTTAGGGAGGTTTGGGTGGATAATCAGATAGTACCTAAATAATTTAATAATGGTCTCTGAAATTTCTAATAAAATTTTTATTTCTTTTTATTGTTGTATGAAGCTGATTTTCTTTACAGATGTCAAATTTACAAATTTAATTTCCATTTTCTAGAAATTTCAAAAGTTCAAGACAGTGAAGTTGGTGATGGAACTACCACAGTTACTGTTCTTGCATCTGAACTATTAAAAGAAGCTGATAAACTTATTACACTAAAATTACATCCTCAAACAATAATTTTAGGTTGGCGAAAGGCTAAGGAAGCTGCTTCAAAGGCTATGTTAGCTCATGTTGCTGATAGAAGGTATTTGGTTTTTTAATTTATTGTGATTTTTTAGCTGTAAAGTGCCATAAATGCAGAAAGTCTCATATTAAATAAATGTGATGGTGTACCATATATTCCGATGACTACAGCGTCCGATGTATAATGTGCACCTATAATTTCAAACTTATTTTTTTATTTATTTGATTTGGTTAATTTATTTACGGCAAAGCACACTAGCGCTATCTACCTAAGGGGAGAAATGCCTTCGTAGAGGACTTTCTAAGGGAAACTGGCTTGTTTACACATTATACATGGGAACTACCAGCCAACAGCTGGGGATACTTTAACTAGCAGTTTTTGGGTTAAATTAATAACTGAATAACTTACTTTAACCCGAAAACTGCTAGTTAAAGTATCCCCAGCTGTTGGCTGGTGGTCTAAATTCACTGACTGAACCAACTTGAGAAACTTGCACATTATTCTAGTCACATGACATGGTGTACCAGCATACAGTGACAAATTCAAAGCTCCAACCTATTCATTATATCTTTTTTCTTCTATAACAGTTGTGTACATAAGCTCGTCCATATCTTTATGTCTCAAAAACTGTGAGCACTGTATTTGCTACAAATACATAATTAAAATGTATTCGCTGATTGCATAAAATAGTGTTGGGGGCTGCAAGTTTGAAACCATTATCTTTAATGATATTCCTGCATTTTCAAGCAGTTTAATCTGCAGAATAAGCTTACTTTGTATTTAGTTCAGTATTTAAAACAAATATAATGCACCGTATATAATGAAAGAATAAATGTAATTAAATGAAGGAATCTGATTGTAAATTATATTACAAAACAGCAATTATTGGCTGTACACTTTTTTTTAATACTTGGCATGCGGGCAACGTATTTTTACGTTTTTTGTAGTCTGTCACTGGAGCGCGGGTCACATAAAAATACGTATGGCATGCGGGCAATGTATTTTTACGTTTTTTGCAGTCTGTCATTGGAGCGAGGCTCACGTAAAAATACGTATGGCATGCGGGCAACGTATTTTTACGTTTTTTGCAGTCTGTCATTGGAGCGAGGGTCACGTAAAAATACGTATGGCATGCGGGCAACGTATTTTTATGTTTTTTTGCAGTCTGTCACTGGAGCACGGGTCACATAAAGATACATATTTAGTAGATTTTTGGTGGACACCCGCTAACCACCACAAATCTAGACATTGTATAAGTGTTGTTTGCATTGCTAGGCAACACTTTGCATTTTTTCTTTCAACAAGTTACGATTGGTCAAGTTACTTAGTGTCTTTTGTTGAGTTATTTCGCCTTCAGTCAAATTCTTAGCTCCAGAACATACAAGTGTTTTGTCAATTTGAAGCTTGATTTTTTTATTATTGATTAAATAAATTGATAAAATGAACCATTGTGACAAAGATAGTGATGAAGAAATATGCGCTGACAGTTTATCGAACTTTTCGTATGATAGTGACTCGAAGATATCGAAGAAAGTGATGTTGAGACATTATTCCACGTTCTCGAGTGTTCTCCAAGAGAATTCTAGTAGTTTCTGAAACAACTTCTGATAAAAAAAGCAGTGAATGCCATTGATGACAATCCTAATGACCTTGAAGAGTTTTGGATCATCCTGGAACTAACATGGATAATGTTCTGAATCCACAGCTGACGCAGTAAAGTTTATAGGCGAGATTTTTTGCATATTTAGTCGCGGAATAAACAGGTATTATTATCAAAATATGAATCAGTTTAAAATATCTCCCAAAGCATGAAATGGAGAGATATTATGATTCCGGAGATGAAAAAATTTTTGGGGCTTATTATTTTCAGGGACAAGCCGTAAAGATGTCCTCAATGATGTTGCACAGTACACGTTTTTCAAAATATGTCAAGATGATTTGCCAAATAGGAAGCTTGCATTTCAAAACATGAAGACGTCATGACGATTTGATAGATTATTCAACAAGGCCTATACTAAATTATTTTGTGAAAATTCAGTAACATTTACAAACCGAAAACAACAGTATCGTTAATGAGGGTAATACCTTGGAGAGGACGATTGTTTTTAGAGTTACAACGCCAGGAAATTATAAAATACGCATACTCATACGAATATGTCGAAGTGACACTGGTTATATTTGAAATTTGAGTTTGCAGCTCAAGGATTACGTTGATCGAAACGATATCCGTGTTTGCGAACTGTTGTCTGGCACCCATTTTAATGGACATTATACAGCGTCAAAAATGAAGCCCTAAAAAAAAAAAAAAAAAAACTACTCCAACCCAATCTTCGAAGAAAAAATGATATATTGACAAGTTTGCAATCCAAGAAAGATCGTTTATCTTTCAATCATTCCGCGGAATGAAAGAAAGTATATGTTGATCAATGATAAGAGACATTATAAAGCCAAATGCTTTAATCGACTACAACAGTAATGAAAGGAGCGATCAGGCGATCAGTATTGTCCTACTATAGGTTTTGCATAAACGTGAGCGGACAAAGCGCTTAGCAGTATTAATGAATTGTATATTACAATTTTCGACAAAGACGCAAAAATTACAGAAGTTTTTCACGCATCGCATGACATTGGGTTATGATGAACTCCTGAATCGCAGAAGAACCGGCAAATGATATCAAAACGTGACCCCCTGAAGATTGTCATGGATATGCACAACACGTATTGGAAAATTTTGTGCGGGGAAGAAGAAAATCCACAGTGTCAGTGTGCGCAGCAAGAATGTGAGTAAACGTGTTCATATGTAGCTTCTGCGTGTCCACTTCATAAGGAAAATGTTGAATGGTCCATATGTAAAGCCTATACGGATCATTCTTTTGTACTTGTTATGAAAAAATATTTGAATACATTGTTAAAATTTTAAAAATCGTTTATTTGCGATTTCGTAAAATGTCCTTTTTTTTTTTTTTAAATTCTCAGAAATTTAAGTAAAATAAAAAAATAAAAGGGTATTAATTAATGCAACCGCAAATTCGCAAATCGCCCCTTTTGGGAAAAACCTACGTGACACCAAACTTTATCACAGAAATCGTAATATCGTATTTCGTATATAAAGAAAAATCAAGGAAGGAAGCTCGTTTATTCGATGCTGGAAAGGATACATAAAAGTGAGTTCGAAAATGCTGGATTTTCATGTAACTTGTATCACAATAAACTTTGTGGATCCCAACACGGGTGTTCACAAAACAGTAGCGCTGGGGGTCAGCCAAAGGCACAACAAAAAAGAAGGAACAGCCCGTCATCATCTTGACATACCTTAATCATTTATATGGCGCCAAGCTCAAGCTGTTAATGGCGAAGGCGGTTTTAAATCAGTGCTAAAAGCAATAGCCAAAAGATTTCCGCCGCAAAATATACTTTTCAATTCCCAAAACCGGAAGGGTTATTTGTAGTCTATTTAAAAAAAATAAAAGAATCATAAAAAAAACTGTTTGAATATCTGTAATTATAAATGACATTTTTTCTTTCTATTCATACTTTTTTACTCAAACTTACAAATCGCGCCAACCTGGTTGCGATAATACGTAAGTACTAAAAAAAGTTTCATTCATAAAAACGTAGTTTTCTATTTACTGCGATTTTCCTGAATAACCGTACTTTCGCGCGATTCATGAAAAAACGCCCGCTGCATGCATAAGTTTGCGCTGTAGTATACCTGCATGCCAAGTGTTAAATAATTGAATAATTTACTTTTAACTTAAGATTTAATAATCTGGATTGCATACAGTTGAATTAAATAGTGCTACAAATGGGGGAAATACAAACAAACAAAAAATGATAATTATTTATTGTTATTCCATCCTTTTTTTGTGCTGATGATTTTATGAAAGTAATTTTTCCATTCTTCTACATTAAACTTTTTTTTTTTTTTTTAAATAGGACCCCCAAGTACATTGAGATTTGTTTTGTATATATATTTTGTTTAATAATACATATTAAGATTCTTTATTTTTATCTCTTAAGCTCTCTAAAAGTATACTCAACTGTAACTGTGTGTCTCTTTATTTATTGCAGTGGTGATAAAGAACAGTTTGAGAAAGATCTCCTTAACATTGCTCGAACTACTTTGAGTTCTAAGATTTTGAGTCGGCATAAAGATTTTTTTGCCAATATAGCTTTAGATGCAGTGAAAAGATTAAAAGGATCTGCAAATTTAAATGCTATACAGTTTATCAAAAAACTGGGTGGTTGTCTCACAGATTCATTTTTGGATGATGGTAAGATTTATGCTGGAGAAGGACTTTCTCCTTTATTTTACTATTGAATGAAACCTTTTATATTAGTACTATATGTATGTATTCTGTGTTTCTTCAGAGCCTAAAAATACTTTTGAAACTGAAAATTTCCGTTCTTGTTGAAAACCATCATTAAAAATTTTTCACCATTCATTTCACCCACCATTTAACAAAATAAGATCTGATACTTTCTGATTATCTGCATCCCCATGAAAAATAATGCCCATGCATGGGCGACTGTGAATTTGAAAAATACTTTGCTTGGCTAGCTTCGTGGTTTATAAATACTGTCCTGTTCATAAATAATAATAAAAGAAGATATTTTATCATAAGCAAGAAACATTATGAGGTGGGAAAAAGTATATATGGCCAATATTTACATTTTTGCACCGATGGTTATTGTTCAGTTTAACCCTCTCACAGGGTTGCCATGCTACCGGGAAAAGTCAGGGAATTCGAAAAT